ACACACACACACACACTCTGGGAAATACAACTCTGTCTACTCATGTCTCCCTAGTGACAAAATTCTTCTCTTGTTGAGCCCCTTCAGCTGAACTAATCTGCTTTGCTTTCCTTTGACCTTTATGTCTGCCAAACGCTGTGTACTCACACTGGCACGGCTCTTTGACAATGTGACACGTTACTTCTCTTTTAGCCGGGCACGTAATGTCTCAGCGCCGCTTATCAGCCAGCGAGCTACGGCTGACAGATTGGTTACTATGTAAGTCCATGAACTTTGCAGAGGAGAGATGGAAAGCTATTTTGAGGCAGGTAAGAGAGGGATGATTCAGTTGTCTCGCTGAAAAGGTTACTCGGGGGACGGGCTTGTACGTTATGCCTTATACCTTCATGCCGTAATGAGCCATGCGAGATGGTACACATAAGCACCACTGCTTATTATGGGGAGCTCACATACAGAAGAGAAACACACAGAGAACATACCTCACAACGGTAACACTGCACGTGGAAGTCGCGGTCCAGGGCCACAATACGGACGGTCTCCTCCTGGCCCGGCGCTGGCATTATAGGCTCAGAGCACACACAGCAGCGGGGAGCAAACTTCCTGTGAAAGAGAACGAAGAATAACAGAAATTAGCACACAACAGCAGGAAATATTGTGATCTATCCTCATTCATTATTTTGCATGGCGATGCTCTTTAAGCCTGTAAATACAGTGGGGCTGCAGCTAACAATGATTTTCATTACAGATTAATCTGGCTGTTACATCCTTGATTAATCGTTTGGTTTATAAAATTTCGTAAAATTGTGAAATATTCCCACCAGAGCTCAAGATAACATATTCAAATTGCTTGTCTGGCCAACAGTTCAAAACCTAAAGGTATTATATTTACAACAATCAAGAAGCTGGAATAACAGAAGGTGTGTCATTTCTGCTTGATAAATGACCTAAATGATTAATCAATTACCAAAATTGTTTCAACATAATTTTCTGTCAATTGATTAGTCCACCATTTCCTATCCTTTTTGGCTTTTGAGACACAACTTGTGATCTCTCACATACTGTACTACTGTAATACTAACAAAGAAAAAGGCACAGATTGTGCATTTATTTACTTAACCACTGAGGTGGCACTAAAAGCTAAATTTGCCCCTTTTTGAAATATGTTAATAGAATATTTGAGGAAAAGCTAAACATAGTCAGACTTTTACAAATATCATGTGACTCCCCCAGTAACCTTTACAAGCCTTCAAATCAGTAACTGTGGAAATGCCTTTAGCAGAAGGAGGTCTATCTAACAATAGGATCAATGAGGATATGAAAAGCACCCTGAGATTTCAGGTCCTGTCAGGTGACTGAAGGCCTTCTATCTCACATGCCGACTGAATGCCTGGGAATCAGGAAGTGACAGGAGTTTGTGGCCTCGGGGAACCCCGGCCATACGGTGTTAGCCAGAGAAACAGCTCAGGCCCGGGCGTGACTATTCCTCGACACAAAGGGCTGCACTGCTGAGGTCACACTTGTCATGTGGAATTAAACAACGGCCCAGTGCAGCGATTCCACAAAGCAAAAGCTGTACTCTCACACCAAGAGCCAGCTGTTTACTTCTGTTTCCCTTCTGGTCACTGAGCAAAGGAACATTTCTGGTAAGGTGGTGGTTATGCAATCAGATTGTGACACAATGACAGGAATTTACTATTAAATTCATGTCTTCAGTTGCATCTCATAAGGTCAGAGGCTTGTGACACTGCCTGCAGTACTCCCAAAAAGGAAGCACTAAGATGCCATATTAATTGGGCTTGAATACAGTTCAGTCCAATGTGTTAGCTTAAGGATTTTAAAGTGGCATCAGTTGATTTTTAGCCACTTGGGGGCAGTGGAACATGTGTAAACACAACACTGATATATTATCACCTTGTGACAGCTGAAGTGTTCTCAAACAGTAAGTTGCCTATTTACACATCCAGCGGACATTAAACAACATTAACATTCATTCGGAGTGATGCCTCTATCCTCCTGCCAAATGTAAGTAATACATTCACTCTTTTTAGCTCTGGTTTGGTGTCCACCAATTCCTGACAAAAATATCTGGCAGATTTACCATTTTACTTTCTTCACCAGCTACTTGCTAATGTTGTTTGGCTGCCATTTTTGTGCTAGGCAGGAAGGCTACAGTGTTTTTATCAGTGCTTTATTGCCAAAAACTGCTGCCTGCTAAAAAAAAAGGTTGATGAGAGCCTTTAGAGTGAACCACAGCTAACCAAAACAATAGCTGAAAGATGCTAAGATGTTGTTCATATGAAAATATTAAATCTATGGAAGGTAATGTATTTTTGTTATATTGGTTAAAATTCTGGTGTCAGCAATCAATGAATCAAGTCCTCCGGAAAAAAAAAAAATCTGGTATCTGTACCATCTGGCCAGGCAGACATTGCTAAAGCTACCAAGGTAGTCGCACAAAAATGGCACATAAAATGTATAGTCCCACCTGTACCTCCCACAGTTTGCACTGCTAAACAAAGCAAGAAAAGAAACACAGAAGTGTGTGCTCCACACTGCATGTTCATGTGTGTTGGGGGAGTGGCATTTGAGGAAGTCCTGAAGGGAGGGGGTAGGATTTTTAAAATACTATTTGCATCTCGCTAGCTCCTCCAACATTGCGTACCCTAGCTTTAATTTAGTGCAGCTTTAAGAAACACTTGACACATGTCTTATTGGTAGTTAGATGACTGATATAGCTTAGCTTGACAAAAAATACTAGAATCAGGGTAAAACTGCTAGCCTCTAGCATCTATCAGACCTTTTAAAAGCTCCACAGCCTTTTAAAAAAAAATGTGTCCTGTTTATTTAACAAGTTAATATGACACTGTGGTTGTAAGAGCATTAGCGTATAAATTGGAGCTATTACAACAGTTGGACTTAGTGACTGTATGCAGTACCTCAGACGTCCTGTGTTCATTGTGGGGTTGTAGGCTTTGCACAATGTCATAACTGAAAACACAAAATCAAGGCATTTCTTGGACTGGATGAAACAGCAAGTACCCTGCTTGCTAACTAGTTACATTATTTACAGTAAATAAGACAAATTTGAAGCTATTTTAAGGCTTTCAAATTTGGAAAAGGAAATTGGGACATATTACTCCTGACAAATGTCCACTCTCCTTTAAACTCTGCACTTGTCTCCACCAGTTCCTGAGGGAAATATCTGCCTCTTTAGCTGCTAAATGCTTCACTTTGCTCACCAGCTAGTCGCTAACTGTCTGCAATTTGATGCTGGGCAGGAAGTATACAGGAAAGAGCATTTTTGTTACCTTGTGCACCTGCAAAGGACAATGATGAGACTGAATAAAACAGTAAAGATGGACCAAATCAATGAGAAGTCAAAAGTCATTTGAGCCATTGCAAATACAGTAAACATAAAGGAAAACCTAATGTACATACTTGTGAAAGTCCTCGATGCAGTGGATGTGGTTGGAAGCGTCCACGGTGAAAGGGATGCCGTCTAGGCTGCGGTGGCACACCACGCAGGTGAAGCAGTGAGGGTGGTAGGCTTTCCCTGTAGCCCGCAGGATGCGCTCCATGATGGGCTTACTGCAGATGGTGCAGGTCTCAAGGGTGTTCTGTAGACACAAACACACAAACCCACAGACACCCACATGATTACACAACCAACCTGATGATGAATGTTGTGATTCTGATGATTCATTTCCAAAGGCCTTCTGAGCGCTTGTTTACAATTAGCACTCCTCTGCTAACACATTTCAACCAGCATGACAAATTTAAAAACAATTTTCTGCATTTCCTCCAGTTTTGAGTTTGTGATTTTTACTTCCTGCTGTCAGTGTTACACCTCAGGTGGCTCGGCTCCCATTCGTGCCTGTGCAACAAATAAATCCACACTCAGGACCTTTAGCTCGGCTGTCCTCAAATGCCTCTGAAGCTGAAGGAATCTGATTAGCACTCCTCGCGAAACACAAACACAGTCATTTTTCAGCTGCCCTCACCCACACTTCATCCTCCCATATGCAAGAGTGTGAGCAGTAAATATTTCCACTTTGTGATGACTTCAGGTTTTCTGCAGCCAGGCGACTGGGCAAGCGGCCCGCGGGGGGACGTGGCAGCCGCCTGCCTCTGACTTATCTGTGGCATCTCTCTTCTTAATATCTGCTGGGAGACGCCATTTGTTATTTCAATATTTCATAAATAACGACTGCCTCTCTAAACAGCAATGCAATTACGGGGGGATGGATATATCATGTAAGGGTGATCAATGTGCGGCCTGATGTGGCTGTGTGTGAGCTGATGGGTCCCGCTGTCACTGCCTCTCGCTCTGGCATTTCCTGGATCTCTGTGTCTCTCTCTCTCCCCCTTTTTCTGCGCTTGGCTGGGCTAAAGAGTGCACGGTTCAGCTGTTCCCATTGGCTCCCACTGTAGTAGCAAGCTGCCTCAGTGTTTCCAAACACAGCTCGGGGTGTGTAGCAACACTGCGCTGCGTCATCGGCTGCCTCCCAGACACACCGCCGGGCCCTGCCGTTTAAAATGACACTTCTGTGACCGCTCGGCCGAGGTAAACTCCCAGCCATCCCCTGTCCGGCTGCGGAGCACGTGCAGTGACATTTATAGTCTATATGCTAATGAGCCAAGCAGCTTTACACGGTGACGTTCACTGAAACTACAATGTGAAAATGTTCCTGACATGATTCCGTGAGGTGTCTGACTTTTGCTTCTCAGGGCTCCTCGCAGCACGATTATGTGTCACTCGAGGGCAGGAGGGCAAGAGGGCAAGAGATGAGAGCTGCTGATGTATGTAAAGGGGGTGGTTTGAAAAATGGCCGTTTCTTCAAAGCACTCCTGGAGAGGTATTATTTCATGAAAAGCAATGTGTGCAGACAAGCTTCGCATTCTTATTTGTCTTTTTTCCCTCCTCCAAGACTGTAATAGAAATAAACATTATTCCCAGGGCAACATTTGTGTATAAACAATGTCCATATTGCAATCCTGCTCGATCCTGGAAGTGGAATGAAGCCTTTAATGAGCTCGCTGCACTGAGCCCTTGAGGTTTGCCTCACGCACGCACACAGAGACAGAGAGAGGTAGAGGTAGAGAGGGAGAGCGAGAGGGGGAGAATATATTTGCAACCTGAGAATGTGAGTAAGATACCGGGGCCAAACAGCACTAAACCATCCTCAACTCTTACTCATCTGTCTGCATTTCCACTTACTTATTCTCATCTGCCCTTCATGTGGGAATACCTTGCCCTTGTTTAGCTTAACTAGAGCATATGATTTCACAGCACACAGTTCCTCCGGGCCATTGTAATGAGTACAGTACTCAAAAGACAAAATTTCTCTCTTTCTCTCTGATGGTTAGATTCTATGACCTCAATTCATTCATTCTGCTCAGCCTCTGTTGTTTTTTTATTCACTCGTGACTCCTTTTATTTGGTATTACGTAACATTTATTAGGCCTGTTACACAAACGTGGGTCTGATGTCAAAACAGAGAATGTACATGAGTTTAGGGTCTGTGTTTGGGTACAACCTCCACAGATGGTTTAAGGGAAATTCTGCATAAATCACTTCATGCCCTCTCTGTTAGACATCCAGGTCCTTTGCAGTTTGCCACTAGAGGGCTGTATATGTCTACAGATGTCCGGGTTTTGCTTTTCCCCTGACTAAATGTGATGTATTCAAGCATATGTATTCTTCCCCCCCTCCTCTCCCTCATACATTTTTCTAAGTATTTACCCAGAAGGCTAAACAAATGTCTAGGCAGATGAGGTAAAGTGAATTTAGGTCAGACAGCCTCTTGCTGAACTGAGGGGTGAGCGGAGTGCGTTAAAGTCAATTGTGGCCCCTTTTCCTCATTGTAAGCCCTTTCCTTTCGCTACAAAGTGCGATTGTGACCCCACACCGCACACACCGATGCCTGCACAGTCGGGCCCAGCTTCCCAGTATTTCGCAACAGGCTCCCAAACAACGTTTGACACAGCTGTCTGTTAGAATGAGGAGTGTGATGGCAAACAAAGCATGTAACGGGCAGCTACGAGGGTCCCATGTGCTCCGCTCTGAACATGAGAAACACGCCTGACAGAGTGAAACAGAGAGGCAGAGACAAAAATCATGATTTAGTGTCATTTTAAGTCTTTTATCTAAAAAATGTTAATGGTGTGGGATTATTTTAGTAAATCAGCTTGTAAATTGTAATTTTTTTTTTTGGATCAAATGACATTGCCTTCAGACTTGATTTAAACACGTACAGTACAACTAAATTAGAAAAATAAGTAACTAAAATTAAGTAAATTTCTTTTTTTTTTATATTTAAAAAAACCTTTAGTTCTTATAAACAGAGGCCCAATACTAGACTAAATGACTAGGATAAATGACATAATTTCAATTCATTTGTAGTAATTGTCACAGTTAATTTATTAGTCTCAGAGCCTATGGTGTCACCTCCACTTTTTTTGTTTACTTTAATGTACTGTAAGGCAAGAAAAGTAGTAATTAAAATATCACAATTAATTCAGTCTATGGTTTGTACTTTTCCATGCAAACACACAGCTACAGGTAAAACACTGCTGGAACAAAGATGTAATTTCCTTGTTTGCAGATGAAACAGTAAACAGTTGGAAATCTGCTGTGGCACACTGCTAAGCTCAAGCTGTTCACCATCTCCTCCGACCGTATCAACACAAATTTTACACCTTTCTGTTCTTTTTTTTTTTCACGTGGCCGAGTCGGGCTGACAGGAGGCAGGCTGGACTTCAGTGAGACTGCACGCGATTTATGACCTGGCACACTGAACTCAGAAAGGGCCAAATTTACAGATGATCTGATTCGGTGTGTCTGTGTGTGTACGGAGCTTCACAGAATGTGCCGGTCAGTGCCAGGCCATGCTGTGTGAATTATCTACACCCTACTGAAGGTAGGTCGGACAAGAGCTTGTTCCAAAGAAAGGTCTGAGTGCTGCTGCTGCTTTTGGGTTTCCTCTGCAATGAATAAGAGATACTGACTTGGTCGTGAACTATGAGTCAAATCACTGACCCTCCTACTTCCTGAGGGAAGGTGTCTGCTGACTTAATGAACCTTGACAAGCAGCCTCTCTCCCGTTTATTTCTTAATATGGGTCAATCAAGCAGGACCAAGTGAAGATTATTTTGCCAACAAGAGGCTTGTTTTTCAACTGCAAGTGCTACAAAAGAAGAGAAGCAAGAAGAAGTGGGAAATAATAGAGAGGAAGGAACAATGATTCATAGTGAGGGGATACTATAGAGAATGTTAGAATGTTACAAACTGCAGGGGTCAACAGAAATAATGTCACAATATAATGCAGTCTAATGCAAACTACGGCTTTAGGGTATTCAAAAGAAGGAA